CCTTTTTTGTAGACTCCACGTCACCCTTCCGGTCCTCGGCAAAAACCAATATTTAACCCCTTACCTTACAAAATTGGTAAGTTTTAACCCATCATCTTATAATATCACATATTAGGCCCTTTATCTTACAAACTTGATAAATTTTAGCCCCTCATCTTATCAAGTTGATAGATTTTAACCCATCACCTTATATTATGATATTTTTAATTCTTCATCTATCGAATTGAAAAAAATAACCCTCACCTATACGAATTGAAGAAAATAACCCTCACTAATATTCAGCTATAACATTCTGTTAGTTTTATTAGTTGACTGCTAATATCTGTTAGCATTTCATTATAGAAAAATGTGAAATTTAAATTCAATTTTATATGTTAGTTCCATTAATAGAATGCTAACGGATGTTAACACTCAACTAACATAACTAATAATCAGTTAACAGAACTGATAGTCAGTTAACAAAATTAATAAAAATATTATAACTTGATGTTAAGTAAAGATTATTTTCTTTAATTTGTTCAGATAAGGGGTTAAAAGTGTCATAGTATAAAGTGAGGGTTTAAAATCTATTAATTTTGTAAGGTAAGGGGTTCAAATTTAAAAATTATTAACTTTGTAAGGTAAGGGGTTTAAATTTAAAAATTATTAACTTTATAAGATAAAAGGTTAAAACTTAAAAGTATTATATTATAAGATTATAAGTTAAAACCTACCAATTTTATAAGTAGAGGGACTCAAGTTGGTTTTAGCCCCGGTACTCTCTCTCACCCCGGTGCAGCGACAGCGTTACCCCCGTTAAAAGGCAGCCTCCCATTTTTCTTAATTAAATTCTATTCCTTTCTCTCTCACAAAGTCTTTCTCTTTCCTTCATTCCTTCTCGTCTTTGTCATCTCCTCCAAATACTCTCTTCCTTTGTGTCGGCTCCTTGTTTCCCCAAAAACCCTTGCGGAAAAGGACCCATCTTTCTTTGTTTTGCCTCGGCTTTTCGCGGATCTCTTCTGGGTTTCTCTTGCTTTTTCTTCCGGGTGAGTTTTGTAACTCGAGCTGAGTCAACCCTAGGGTTACAAAGATTGAATTTTTGTTTTTGTTTTTGTTTTTGTTTTGTTTTGTTTTTTTTTTTCCCGTTTTGTGATTGGGTTTGGTTTCTGGGTTCTGCTCATCATCAATTGTTGATGAGTTCTTTCGGATTTTGTTTTCAGTTGTTTGCTTGCGTGGTTTGGTTCTGAAAAATGGTAGGAAAACTAACGGGAATTTCGTGTTTTCTCTTGGGGAAAGTTATTTTAGTTAGATTTTGTGAGACTCAGTCTTTTTCTGTTACCAGGACAATAAAATGTTTGTGGGTTCATGATATAATTTGTTAAAATTTCCTACCTTTGTAGGAAAACAGAAAGGGTTTTTGGTAGATGAAGCTTTATTTTTTTATTTTTGCTTGTTATGGTGTTGATTGCAGCTTGTACCAGTGAAGGTGGATTTTGGGGAATTTTCTGGTAAAAATTTGTGAACTTAGAGGGTTTTATTATTTAAAGTTCGAGGTCTGGGTCTCATGAGAATTGTTAGGGGGATGCAGAGATCGTTTCGTGAGGAGAGGAACGAGCTGGGCTGGAAGAAATCATTCAGCCAAGGGATTGGCTTGATCACACCCAAGGCAAGAACACGTGATAAACCTATAAGTAGGGTTTTGGGTCTCTAAATTTTGGGGTTTTGGAACCGGATCGGGATTGCGGTTTCTAATTAAGGGCAACATACGTACATCACAACAATGACTCGCATTTTGGTTCAACGAGGATCAGCTGGTAGCTCTTCTTCAAACTCAAGCCGTGCTTCCTTGCCCGTGCCTTCTTCTCGAGCAGAGCAACAGACTTCCACTCCACAGGTTCTTTCAGATGTGAAAGATGAGGAAATTGGAGAGGAAGTGCTGGAACAAGTTGTAGATGAGCCTCTGGAGATTTATGGGAGTGGTGACAGTAAGGCTGTTAAAAGTGATGATCTTCTCTTGGAAGATTTGCATGGTGATAGAAATGAGGGTTTGGGTGATGGAGTTGGTGACTCTGAGAAACTGAAGATGGATGATGCTATTATAGGTACAAGGGAAATGATAAGTGACTTGGGTGGATTGAGGATATCAGAACAAAATTCAGTTGAGAGTGAAAGGTCTAGGGGTGATCCATCGCCAATCAGTATTGGAAGTCCACATCCGCCACCACCTCCTGTCCCTCCTCCAAAAACTTCTCCTGCAAGCTCAAATTCAAGGAGATCTATCTCTGGAAGTTCGAATTCTGCACGCACTGTATCGACTAGAAGGGCAGTTGCCTGGCCTATTGTTTCTGCAAGGACATCACCATCTGGATCTCGGCCTTCTTCTCCTAGGTCTCATGCTGAAAGTGAGGGTTACAACAGTGCTGATGAGCAAAATCCCTGCTTTGTATCCTCCTATGATGATTTGGTAAGTTTTCCAGCCTAAGTATGGTTATTCTTGTGCTTTGCAAAATGCCTTTTTTTAAGAGAAAAAGGAATTTTCTTGAACATGCAATGTGATTGCTTTGAAGAATTTAATACTATTGTTCTTTCTTGTGCTTGTACATGGCATGTTCTTGTTTTCTATACTAGATTTTCCAAATGGTGCCTTTGGTTTATTCTATCTGTTCAGGAACGTGAGAGTCAGTTTGAAGTTGATATCAGAAGGGCCAAAGGTCTGGAAGTCAAACGTATGTTGGAGGATGGGAACTGTCTCTTTCGTGCTGTTGGAGATCAAGTATATGGGGACTCAGAAGCCTATGATCTGATCAGACAAATGTGCATAGATTACATGGTATGGCTCTTTTAAATCTTCTAGGTGCTGGTATTATATAATTGTTATAGTGATATTATCAACTAACCATCTGATGATGGTTACCATCTTTTTCTATCCATCTAGGAGCGAGAGGGGGATCACTATTCTCATTTTATAACTGAAGGTTTTACCTCTTACTGTAGGAGGAAAAGAAGAGACAAGGTAGGTACTTTTTAAATATGTGGAATGATATTTTGAAATTTTACCAAAGCATATGTGAATGAGGAGGCATTTGAAAGCTGGAATTTGTAATTATAGCAACCTGTCAATTATTGAATCCTGCATTTACTAGAGGGTTCATTTTATTTGTCTTTTGCAATTGTTTCTGAAAATGTTGGTTTGATTTTTTCTTGGTGACAGGTCTATGGGAATAATGTAGAGATTCAAGCTTTATCAGAAATGTATAACAGGCCTATCCACATTTATTGCTATAGCACAGGTCTGACATGACTTGTTTTGGATGAATGATGTGCTGGACATGTTTCTTAGTATTCTTTTCCCTTTAACTGACAACAATTATTTGATGCAGAACCTATAAACATATTTCATGGGAACTACAACACAGACACCCCTCCCATAAGGTTGAGTTACCATCATGGGAATCATTACAATTCTCTTGTTGACCCACGTAGGTTGACAGTTGGTGCTGGACTTGGATTTGGTTGTCTTCGAGGGGTCTGACCATATCTCTTTCATCTATTTCAATTCAACAATGTTGAATATCACTTTAGAAATAAATTTATAATATCAAATGGGCTCTATGTTGCTGATGTCATAATTATGTTTGGCTCTGCAGAGGAATGTGGATAAGGATCAAGTAAAGGCTGCTATTAAAGCTCAACAAGACCAACAGATTGATAATGTAAGTACTTTAATTATATGAAGTTTTTGCAATGGTTTGGTGACATGGCACTAACAGGATTACTCTTTCTATAAAAATACCATGTACTGGCAGGCACTTCTAGCTGAGGGGCGTTTTTATTCTGATCTTGAGCTTACAGAGAAAGAAATTGAAAGAATGGTTATGGAAACATCTCGTGCTGAGTACCTTTCTAATGACAAGTTCAAGCAGCATATTGGCCATAAGGAATCATCAACTTCCAGTGCTGAACCATCATCTTCTGGAGCCAGTAAGTATTCTGGCCTTTTTAAAACTGCTGCAACTAACTACTATCAAACCGTAATGGTGACAGCAGCTTGAATTTGGAAAAACAGGATCATCTGGCAGCAAAACCAATCTGGAAAGTTGGAAAGAGCAGGATAATGCACTGAGCAGCAGTATGCAGATATTGTTGTCAATGGGATTCAGCTATCTGCAGGCAATAGAAGCATACAGCATATTCGGGGATGATGTTGATTCCATGGTCTGTTATCTCGTAGAAACCAGCAACAGCAGCAGGCGCAAAGGCAAGGCCACAGAATGAATACAAACACTGATCTGCAACACAAGTGTAGGGTGTGTGTGGGACAAAAAGGATAGTTGTAGCTGTTGATTGAAATAAGAATAGTTTATTTTTCCGCAAAGCAAGTCAGACACTTAGATGTGGTGTTAAAATTAAAGTCAATAAAAAGATTGTTTAGCTGAATATTTTAATTCATTCAGGTTTTAATTGATATGATAGTTCAATATTTTGCAAGCAACAGTACTGAATATTTTAGATGTAAATAGATTTTATTCTGGAAAGCTAAGTTTTTAAAAATATTTTTTTGACATAAATATGATTTTGGATCAAAGGGAAATTGTAAAAGAAAGAAAAAATGGGAAAAAAACTTGTTACTTAATTTTATGAAAATGGTAAAACATGAATCATAAAAGTTATGAGTTTTATGAGTTTATTAAAATATTTTTGGTAAGAATTTTTTTTTTATGTTAATTTATTAACAATATTTTACTGTTTCAGTGTTCTAAACTCATTAAAAATGTAATTTGATTTAAAAAACATAAACCTATTATAAACCCAAATCTTCTTTATGTAAAGGGTGTCGTATTTTATTATTTAGATAGCAAAATAAAAATTATTAGGAAAAGTTAATTTTAATATGAGGTAAAGGTTATTATTAACAAAGAAGATCAAAATTTAAAATGAAATAATATTAGTAAGATAATTAATATATATAATATTAATTTTTTTTAAAATAAAAAATTAATTACTAAATAATGTAAAATTTATTTTTTAATATTTTATTTAAATAATATG